ATCATGATCCACAGTCAGTGAAAGGCTTCAGCATAGATGGAAAAAATACCCCCTCTCTCTAGTGCACTGCTTTTTATGCAATATGAAGTTAATCCTAATCCTCTTTTCACTGGATTTTCTATACTATTGTCATTTCAGGTTACTCTTGGTAATATCTGGGCTATTTTAAAGTCTCATCACCTGTTGTGAGCTGCTGTGCAGCTCAGCACAGGCTAGAAAACATGCCCAAAGGGAGAGAGAAATAGGCGTTTCCCTCCGCTGAGTTGATCTTGCCACAGCAACAATGCTAGCACTATCCGAAATACCCAGACTAACTTATGTGTACTATGTTTATATGAGCTGTAGTGATTCTGGTGTTAGACGACATTAAAGGTCAGCCAGATTGGGTTATGCAACAAGTACATGCTTTTCCTACCTCTTGGAGTACTTTAAGACCTCTGATGTTGTTAGCTGGCAAGACACGCTCTGCTGAAGAAGCAAAGCCTGTACCACTGACTCCAGTACTCCTGACAGATTTGCTTTTACACTACCAGCACCATTCTCACAGCAGCTCTTTTCCACCATCTGTCAATCTCATCAATCTTACAGCCTGTTCTTCCAGCCAACCTGGGGATAACTGCTATCAAGGAGGGAAACCAAGTTAGATTTGCAGTGCTCTTGAAACACGCATACCCCATCTTTTACTTGGTCATACTTGCTCTTTCCTGTCTTGGAGAAGCATTTCAGCACAGCACAGCAGTGCACCATTACAAACGTGTCTTCTTTCAGCAGAGATGATGGTGACACCTACTCTTCCCCAGTATTAAGCATTGTCCACTTAGCTTGTAGAATTCAAAAGAACGTATAGACTATACCTATCACATCACAGGATACTTTTCTTCTTTTGGTTCAAACTGTTATCTTGTTTCAGTTACACAGAAAATCAGAAGACCACAACTCCTTTCACCCCATTACTTGACCAGCACCCCCATCTCACACACAGTGCAACACTCAAGTTTTGAGCAGAAGGATGTGGGTTTTTTAAGGCATTGTGGTAAAGATTATGCAGCCATAAATTAGTAATGGATTGTTTGCCATATCTCGTTCTCCTGGTCCTGGAGTTTTCACTTAAGAAGTAGAGACAGGCAACAAAGGATTTGGTTGCAGAAGGTTTGCTCTACATGCTATTTGAGGCACCTCAAATTTCCATACCAGGGTAATGGCTACACAGATAAAGTTACAGAGAGATTCTTGGCTCTGGTCCTGAATCATCAGCAAGGATTGTGGATTTACTATTAAAAGAATAAGTGTTTCTTTAGAATCAAAATAGATTACTCTAAAGAAACTGAAAATGACCAGAACTCCAATCCAGTCTGTCTTTCCCAGGATACTGATAGCTAGAAAAAGCAGAGAACATGTATCATGTTCTGTCACTTCATTCTCTTGGTTTTTTTCATGTTTCAGGCAGACATCCAAATTTGGATTCTTTTCCATAAAGCAAAATAAAGTTGCAATAATAATGCAGCCATTGTCAGTTGTTCCCACACCTACTATCCTGACAGTACAACTGTGAATCTGATGTTCAGCCCTTCCTTTCTTCTGCAATTTTTTCAGTTCTGTTTAATTGTCAGAATGTCTGTATTTTTTTTTCCTTAAAATAAATGCATTTAGAGTATCCTTCAGTTTATCTGAAAGTGTGTGTCAACAAAACACCTAACTTGTCATATCTTCAAAGACAAGGAAAACTTCAATGTTCTAGTTTTGCTAGAAAGTAGCCAGGCAAGATCCAGGTACTCTCTAAACTGGGTCTGTCAGGTTTCTGATGTGCTAGTAGTCTACTTAGAATAAGGTTACTCTGTTAGCATGTGCAAGAAACACTTGTATAAATCCAGAGGTGAATTCCACCTACAGCAATTTATTTGTGTAAGTAAGTCCATTCTGCTGCCAGATAGTGTGAAATTTTGTCTGTTGAAAGACAGACTTTCTGTTCTTGAACAAAGGACATGGTTCTTTTGCATTTTTTGATGCAGGATATGTGGCTTCAGTTGAGGTCGTTGTGACAGCAAACTTATATATATATGGGTAGCTTCAGCAAAACTCTAGTACTCATTGGAGGGACTGAGGAGAAAAACAGAGAGAGTATCTCAGCAGTGTTCTTTTACGCCCTACTTCCTTCAACCTGCACTGTGATAACAGTCTCCAGCCTTAACTGGCATAAACATTTCTAGGAGCTTGGTCACAGACTAGAATCAGAAGGAAGCCAGGTCATACATCATCCCCTCTTCTCACCTAACTCTGTAAAGCATAAGGAAAAGTTTTTCTTCCATCTCCATCTGTCATTCGTCTGAAATTAGTCATGGACTTTCTCATCAGCAAATCAGTTTTCACCTACTGTCTTACCAAAGCTTCACACCTTTCAAGTGAAAGAAGTATATATTTTTCACATGCAAAAACAATGAGAGCTCTTCAGCTGTGGTGTTTCATCAGTACAATTGTCTTTCAAAGAGAAACTAGTACAGAACCTTTTGGCTTCTGATCCAGGACAGTGGAGCTAGCACGTTTTCCCACATACCTCTTTTTAGTCTCTGGTCAGAAGTGCTGTTTTGGCTACTGCTGAGCTGGATTAAAAGGTTATAGCCCCGAGCTCCTTCTCAGAAGCTACTGTCTCCTCAGATCAGTCAGCATAACTGCACGTGTAGTTGCTTCCCGGTCCCTTTCTATTAAAAAAATCTGTTGAGGGTTTTTTGAGAGAAAAAAATAGCGTTCAGATCTTTTAGGAGAATGAAGTCAAGAAGCAAATATATAGGCAGTTATTCTTACAGACTGGAGTGGGGCAATAGCAGGTATCCGGGACAGTAAATTCTTCATCCAGCTCAGCTATGGCCAAAGTAAGCTATCTGATGGCATTCTACGTATTTAAGTGTTCATCTCCCTATAACCTTGACTTAAGCACTAAAGTGCCTGATGGAATAATTTTACTCCCCGTTCTCAGAAATATTGCGATAATTAAATGCATCTTTTAGTGCTCACCAAGGTCATTAAAAACTGTGAAATTGTCAGCATTTAACAGCTAAACATGTCTGTACTCCAGTAGTACCAATCCTCTACCTTTTCCAGCCCTTGGTTTAAGAGTCCAGCAAGTTAAATGAGTATGAGTATGTTTAAATACTCAATTTTAAATGAAAGCATTGTCCATTTATTCTATTTTCAAATTTTCTCAATCATATCTTCTTTCACATTGAGTTAAATGAGTACTTTTTGCAGCACATACGTATTTTGTTTTGTCCACAATTACAAATTCCTAGCTAGGAATGTTAAAATACCGAAAGACGATGAGGAAGCTAAACCAGTCCAAATAAGTCTACTCCAGGAGTGCAAATAGATGGTTTTGGAAAAGCAAATTTGGCGTCACTACTACCCTCGATGGTTTGCCATTGTGATTCTAAGTCACCAGATTGTGATGAGTCTTTATTAAAAAAGCTCTTGTCAACAAACAGAAAGATATATTGGTATAATTAAAACCAGTCTCAATAATTTATATTAAACTTTTTAAACTTTTTCTGTATCTTTAATAAAACACTAAGTGCTTCAATGGCAACATTGTTAGCATAAGACTAAACTGACTGTGACAGAATCATTTTAGCACATTGGTTTTTTTTTTTTAAATAATTTCTCTAAAGAAGTTAATAACGTTAGCATGCTTTTCTTCATAAACTACAGCAGGTCAAAATCTAGATTATCTTGGAATTTGATTTATAGCATTAGTACTGTGGGTGCTACTTTGACTCTATTTGCAACTAAATTTTTAAAATGAAAAGGTAGATAGGAAAGCTGTAATATTCTAAGTTCATCCTACACCATCACTTCTGCATTGTGACATCTTTCTCACAGCCTCAGATGGCTAGGAGCTCTCTCCTGTCCTTTGTCTGCATGATGAAACTGCCTGCCTCTTTGTTACAGAGAGGAGGACAAGCCAGACCTACTGGACAATAAGGCCCAAATTTGCCTTTACATCCTGCTGCATGCTCTGCCTTGGCCACACCAAATACAGGTGGAAATTCAGATGAAAGGACAGGTGGAGTTGTTTTCCCTAACATATAACAGTCCTTTGAGCCCATTCAAGAACTGCTGTTTTGTTAATCTGGGCTAATCTTTTTGTCTCCTCTCTTTCTAGTAGCTATAAAATGTTTCCAAGGGGCAGGGATATTTGTGAGAATTATTTGCTGTTGGGAAAGAATATGGTGAGGTTGTATTTCCATAACTAGTTATTGTGCTACCTGAATAGGATTGTCCACTCCTACACCGTTTCCACAGAGCTACAAATAGTTTGGAATGAGGGCAGGCCTACCTGTTTCAGTTTCTCAGGACATTCATCTGACAAGCTCATTGTTAGCTTGGTTAGGCACAAGAAAAGTCAAAGAGTAGCTTGAGCATCCTTGTGGGCATCTGCTTGTTGGCTCCTCGTTAACTCCTGTGCCTGCTGTCACAGCCTATTTCAACATGTAGCGTGAAAAGTGCCTGTGTCATCGTTTGCTTCTGGGGTACACTGTTTAAGGGAGTTCAATGAATTTGTGACAGACCACTTTCCTTCTGAAAACGCTGGATGAATAGGCAGTATAACCTAATAAAATTTAACGTGGAAGCCTTCTGATTAGTCTGGTATTTGTGTATACATTCTCAAAATCTGGAAACGTTTAGACCATTATAAAGAAACAAAATGTTCAGACAAAGTAACAACGGTAGATACTAAAAATTGGGAAGGTGAGTGGAGAATAAGAAGTTCTATTACATGTTAGTCTTATCCTTTAAGCAGTAATCTGATAGCACAATGGGTGTGGAGAAACCAGGAAGGAGAGAAGATCAACTTCCTGCACAACTAGCAGGCACATAACCATGAAAATCCTATTTATTTCTGCTCAGTGAAGTTGCACACCACTATAGCGTTTGTTATATGCTTAACTCTTCATAGATGCCTCCTTTGTGTTTTGCTGGACAATCACATATGTATATATGTTTTTCAGACAAGAAGCCCTTCTTGCTGCCATTAGTGAAAAAGATGCCAATATTGCTCTACTAGAACTTTCATCCTCTAAGAAGAAGACCCAAGATGAAGTGGCTGCACTGAAGCGAGAGAAAGACCGCCTAGTGCAACAGCTCAAGCAGCAGGTGAGCAGAGGAGGGTAGGAGGGGAACCAGTTAATAATCTCGTGTTGTGAGATTAGGATCTTGATTTATGAAACTGTAGAAAGTAATAATGTGTAATTCCTTTGTATGTTGGGACAAAAAGTACGTAAATACTGATTTCAAACTAGTTACTGATCTTGAAGCCTGTGAAACACTGTGGGAGAGAAACAGTCTCAATGTTGAGAGAAGTTTCTTCCTGTCACTGCCTGGGTAGTAAATGAGTAATAGAATGTGTAGGAAGCAGCGTATGAAAAAGGAGTTAATTATTATCTTCTAGAGACACAAATAACCACACATTCAGAGAAGTGTAGTGATACATCTTTTGAAGTTTTGTATTTGCCTTGTCAGGCAGGAATCATACCTGGAAGAAAATTTTCCTTCCTGTAAAGGTCAAATTCAGATGTATTACACCCCTCAGCCTCTATTGTGGTTTCTGATTTGTGACAGGAGCCCCATAAGGGGATGCCAGCTAGTTGAGTGGAATTTGGGAGGTTTCATGCTGGTGAGGAGATTGGTCCCTCCTTTATTTTTATGTATCAATATAAAATCATAGATAAAGGGGCTGCGAGGTATCATGCAGTGCATCCTCATATCCCAAGGCAGGGAGTATAAGCAATATAAACTATATTTAAATGATTCATGAGAGATACTTGATTAACCTGACAAATTCCACACATCATCCCTAAAACCTATGCTGGGATCTTAAGGATATAAGGATCATCTTTCATCCTTTTTGATGTATACCTTTCAATACTGTTGAAAGAGGAGCCTCTCAAAGTTACTTATGGGATGGTAATACTACTGGCAGGGAACTCAGCACTTCTATAGGTTGCAGGGGATCTGCCATCACATTTACTGTTTCAGTACCAATAACTCTGATATGATTTCTCTCCACATTGATGTCACCAATTCAAATCATACCAACTTTGAGAGCTTCAGGAGTGGGAGATGGGAGGGAAGAGAGGACTGGGAGATTCTTCAGGATCCTCGTTACTGGGGGAGTCAAAGGGAATCTTACTTTTTCATGTGCTTTTCGAGTGATCTGTATACTTGGGCCCTTATGGTCTTCTTAAGTTATTACATTTCACATAGGTCAACAGCCTCATATTTTCCAGCAAAGCACTGTATTTCTTAGAAAGAGTAGTTTCATCAGCTTGAGCTTTCTCTACATGTACCCTGCTGTACATCTGAAGAAAACAGAGCTCCATCTATGTTAGTAGCTGCAAGGAACTGTACAGCATTTCAGGGACTTCCTAAAAGTTTTTCTATTATTCCTAAATTTCAGGTAGAAATTATGAAAAATCTTACAAGCTTGTAGATGTATTAAACATAACTGTTCCAGAAAGACAACTGATGCCAGTTAGTCAAGATCTTTTGGAAGACTTTGAAAAGTCATTCTGGAGCTTAAAACTTCATTCAACCCTTCAGATTCAGAATTTGGATCCGGACCTCACTAATTCTTTCCTTGTGTCTTAAACACTGTTTGAGAGCTGCTGAGCTCCCTGATAAGCATTTCATATTTTAATCCATCCCACTTCTAGGAAATGCTTACAGTTTGTGGTGGGAAAGCAGCTCTTTCAGCTGGCTGACAGACACTATTGACTGAAAGGTTCTGTTTTTTGTGTACATAGGATGCAGTTATGCTGAGCAATGTTGGAATGGGGTGGTTTTTATGAAGGCTTTTGTATGCTGTGGTAAGTACCATAGGCCTGATTTCTGAATCTCACTGCAAACTGCAAAGAGGCTCTGACAGAGATATCCCTTCAGAAGAAGTTTTCCATCTTCACTGCAATCGTGTGTGTGAATGGATCTAACTGTCTATGATAGGATGCAGATTATGCCTTTCTATTGCTTGTACTGGATATCAAGCAGTTGCTATAATAGCTACTACTGTTAGTGGACTGACTGGCTCACCATTAATTGACCTGCCTCAGAGTGTACAAAGATATAACTCTTTCCTAAAACAAGAGCTCAGACGAATGATAACCCTCAGTTTACTTCCTAAAGAATAATTTCCAGGTTCTTCAGCCCTGCAATTTAGCAAGATTTTTATGTATTTAGAAAATAGCAGTGGCAACACAGAGATTCATCAAGGAAATGATGAATGTGGAGGATTCGGTGGTCATTCTTTACTTCATCTCTCCTTTGTCCCGTCCCAACACTATGTCACGTTGCACGTGACTCACGCTGTTAAGTGTATTACCGTGAAAGAGAAGGAAGGAGTCCTGCCAAAGACATCTTGGTTCTTTAATTTCTTTAAGTATATATATTAAAGTTTGGATGAAGAGAGGCATTTCAGAAAGAGGATATGGCATCAATGTTGTTTTAATTTAGAGTTTCTAGGCTCTGAACTGCAGGAATGTGCCTCAATATAGAGACCATTTCCTAATGAGGCAGTTAGCATTGACCAGGCTTTCCAGTAAATGGAGCTGCCTGTTTCATATTGGTTGTCAGTCTCTATGAGGGATTTCCTCTATCATCAGAAAGGGAGGCCAATTGCAGGGCGAGGGTCACCAGCTAATGTGGTCCCAATTTACTTCCTCCCAAAGTACTTTGTCTCCTTGACTAGTTCATGGTGAAACAGTGGTTGGGAGGCTGCTGCACAAGAGGGGGCCAGGGCTGACGCAAGAAAACAGAACTGGAGGGTGTCTAACAAAGTCCAGATGTACCGTGGCGAGCGCCAGCCAGTGTGTTCAGATTATAAGCCATGCAGAAGCCCCTGCAGTGTGTGTCACGCCGGAACTGAGAGAGACCCAAGGAACGTTGGCCTGCTTTATGGCAGCCCAGCACGGCCCCTCTGTGAGAGAATAGCCTATCTATCTGCCATTTATTCCTTTTCTTTGCGAGCTAAGTTTTAGCAATCAGCGTTTATTTATTGCAACGATGTGCAGTTTACTCTGCAGCTTTGAGTTGTAAATGGAAAGCATACATGAATGGGCTGAGGTTTTCTGGTCTGTGGGCTTTGTGAAGCTTAAACATTTGAGGTTTTCTACAAGAAGCTATTTGGAGCAAAGACTGTCGTTTTCTGTGTTTGTACAGTGTCTAGCACAGTGGGGGCCCGACTTGACCAACATCTCTAGGCACTGCTATGCTACAAATGTGTAGTAACGGTGATGAAATTGTTAGGAGGCTCTGAACTGTATCAGTGTCTGTGTTTGAGAGTTTGGAGTGTTATTCAGTTGAATTGTTTATAACTCACTGTGTTCACTTTATGCATTATTATGTAAATGTTTCATACTTATTCCCAATTCCTATTTAATATACTCTAGCAGAACTTACCAGGAAGTAGCTGATTCGGTGTTATTGATGATGGGATCTCAAATTTTTCATTTTTAAGTGATGCAACGCCAGGTTAGGTTAATGCTGGGTGCATTTATACTATACAGCCTTTTTTAACTAAGAGTGAAAATAATTTTCAGGTCAGCTCTTCAGTCCTTCAACAACATTTTAAGTTTTGAATCTGTTCTTTAGCAGGCTTGCAGAAACACCCAACTAAGTTTACGCTGCATATTTCCTAGATGTGTTTTTAGTCCATCACACAGGTTGTTGAAGTAAAATATTGACTAGTACTGAACACAGGACAGAGCTCTGAATAATCCACTTGATTCATTCATCCATTTTATTTGTTAACAGTTAATAACTACTATGGAGCGTGATTTCCTAGTAGCTGAATCAGAGAAAACTCATCTCACTGCAAAGCAGAACCAGTTATACCTATAATCTGTTCTTAAAGGCTATTAGTGAAGGAGGCCTTGAGTTCATGGGTGGTCTTTTCTCTTGCTTATCTCTCTTTACCGTTATAATGTCATTGCTCATGTGTAATCTCCCTTACTGCAGGGAGATTTAAGCTCATTAGTACTTGTTCTATCTGTTAGGAGCATAGAAAATAGATTTTTTCTTTCCTCTTTTTAGCAGCCCTTTAGGTTTATGATGAATGTCATGGTATCTCCTCTGTGTTTTTTTCTCTAAACTGAGCAGTCTCAGTACTTTCACTTTTCATGTGCCTTGTTTTGTAGCTATCTGATCATTCTTATTGTTCTTTCTTGGATTTTTCTCTAATCTGTCTGTGTCTTTCTCTAAGTGTGGTATCCAAAACCGGACACAAAACTCAATGAGGCCTTTCGTTAGCTGAACTTGTTTGTGAGCATGTCATGTAAAACAGTGTCATAAGTCTTCACCTATCCTTGCAAGTCCCAAAACTATTTTCTCTGTGCTACATTGTGCTGCCTGCCTGCAAAGATTTTGGCTGTCTTTCCTTAAGAGGGCAAGGCACTACAAAGATTTGTTCCTCAAGTAAAAGCATCTCACTGGATCATGAGGAAAGGAAAGCATTTTCAATTCTAGAATAGCCTCCCAAAAAAAAAAAATATTAGTTTTCCACTCTTACTTGTTCCCCTGGAAACCCAGCACACTGACACCTGACACTCCTCTGCTGTGAACTTTTCCAAAGTGAGGTTCTGCTGGTTAAAGTCATTCCTCTTTGTAAGAGGAGAATGTAAGAGTGGGTCCAGGGAGACTGACAGGCAGGCATTTTCCTCTGACTACCACAGAGCTGTATCAGAATTACCACACTTCTGTCAGTTTTTGTTACCACCCTGCCTGATGAAATAATACAGATTCTGTAAGTGTGGCAGTTAATCTCTGTTTTGCCTTAGCCGCCCTGATTTGAAACTGTGTCTGATGAGAGTGATTACCCTATCAGCCAATGAATTTCTTCTTCAGGTGTCATGGAGGCAATCACTGCATGTAATCCCTAAAATTATTGCTGTTTCTGTGACCAAACTACTGTTTTTCTCCAAGAGCATCTAAGAGTTCCTGGCCTTGGAATTGTGCCCACTGAAGTATAAATGAATGCAGGTACCTCTTAAATCACGACACTGTCAGAAGAGGACTGTAGGAAGTCAAAGGAGAAGTATTTAAATTTTTTGACTGTTGTTGTAGTCTTCCTCATAGTTGAGAACACATGTTAAAAGTAAATGTTT